GAGAAGCCACACAGCTGCGGCCAGTGCGGCAAGCGCTTCCGCTGGGGCTCAGACCTGGCGCGCCACCAGCGCACGCACACAGGCGAGAAGCCCCACAAGTGCCAGGAGTGCGACAAGCGTTTCCGCAGCTCCTCGGACTTGGTGCGCCACCAGGGCGTGCACACGGGCCAGAAGCCCTTTTCCTGCTCTGAGTGTGGCAAGAGCTTCAGCCGCAGCGCCAACCTGGCGGACCACCAGCGCATCCACACGGGTGAGAAGCCCTTCAGCTGCAGCGACTGCGGCAAGAGCTTCTCGCTGCGCTCCTACCTGCTGGACCACCGGCGCGTGCACACTGGCGAGCGGCCCTTCCGCTGCGGAGAGTGCGACAAGAGCTTCAAGCAGCGCGCCCACCTCATCGCCCACCAGAGCCTGCATGCCAAGATGGCCCAGCCCGTGGGGTGAGGGCTGCAGGGATATTCCGGGAGACAGAGCAGCAGGATGGCCACCTCTCTGCAGCCACCACCCCTACTGCCCTGCTCTTCTCTGCCCCAGGACCTGGTCAACACAACCAAGTAATGGAAATCCCCCATGACCTCGCAGCCATTCTGGGGGTTTCTCTTGCCCTCTGGCTTCCCGGAGCCCCAGCACATTCCTGGCAGGTGGCCTTAGCATGGGAGAAAGACTGAGGCAGCAGGGAAGTGTGAGGATTTGGGCAGGACCCGGGGTCCCCCATCCAAGAAACTGCCCTCAGCCTTGCTTGCCCTGTGGCTCTTTGTTCCCTGCCTTCTTGGCTGGGTCCATGGCCAGGCCCTCTGCCCTGCCAACCTGTGCCTTCCTGTAGGAGTGGAGGACAGGCTTTGACCACTAGTCAGCCCACACTTGTGAAGATCTGGCTCCTCGGTGAGGCCTAAAGGGCTTTCTGGCCCCCACCCCCTCCCACTTCTGCCCTGACCACTCTGCCCTGTCCTGCCAACACGCCACTGATCTGTACCAACTTCCCCCTCGAGAGCCCACCAGAGCCTCAACTGAGGCTAGTGGTAGCTCCCGGGACTGGAGGTCTGTGCAGACCAAGATCAGGGCCCGTGGAAGCCCACTGCCCCCACACTCCCCTCCAGAGACGTGGGGTTTTCAGTACTTAACACTAGCACTCTGTCAGCACTTTGTCACTGAGTCCTTAGGCACTGCATTCCATGTTGTCTGCATCTTGGCATTCACAGGGACACACCACAGGCTCTCCAAAGGAGCTCGGCCCAGCCTGCCTCCAAAGGGCAGCAAAAGGGTTTGAATAAATGTGGAAACTTCCTCCAGGCTGTTCTGTTCTTTAAGTGGCTGCTGGGTAGGGGAGCCTAGAATTTGTACCCCTTGGTCTCCTGACCTGGTAGTCCTATTCGCACATGGTGCAGAGCGGTTACCAGGTAGAGCCACATTCTTGGCTTCCAGGTGAGCTGGGCCCCGAAGGGCAACTATAAGCCTTGAGACTCTGATCCTGCTGTGTTGGTCAGTGTCTGCCCTGGGCTGGGGCCAGTTCAGGATGAGACCGCCAGTAGCACCCTTCCCTGTCCCAGCTGAACAGGACTTCGGGGTCTTTGCCAGGCCATTCCCTTTCTCCCCATTGGTGAGATGAGGAAACAGGCTGGGAGACAGGGTTACTGGTCAGGGTGGTGGTGTGCTCATGCTGGTTCCTGTGCTCAAATCTATTAGGGAGGGGGCTGCTGAATCAAAGTGGGCCTTGCTTCCATCCCCCACATAGCCCTCGACATCTGACCACTCGCATGCGCAGACCCCCGGTTGGGGCCTGCCTGTAGCTGCTGGGCTCATGTCAGCTCCTTCCATCCCTGCTGCGCCCTTCCCAGTTCAGCAGGCTCACTTGAGGAGAGGTGGGGCTGGCTGAGACAAGATGTTCCGTTCCTTGGTCTGTGTGCCAGCCTCTCTGCCCCCTGGGCCTTTCCTCAGCCAGTCAATATATTTTATTGACTTCAGAGAGGACGGGAGAGAGAAATAGAAACATCAGTGATGAGAGAGAATCATTGATCAGCTGTCTCCTGCATGCCCCACACTGGGGATCAAGCCCACAACCCGGGCATATGCCCTGACTGAGAATCGAACCGTGACCTCCTGGTTCATAGATCAATGCTCAACCACTGATCTGGGACAGACCCCTCTTCCCAGATGAAGCAACTGGGGTCTCACCATGGACAGCTGACTCCAGTTGGGGCATGGAGCAGGGGAGTTCTACCTCTGAGATAGTGCCCCTCATTCTCTGTACTTTAATGCTTGAGGCTGCTGTGTGCATGTGTGTGGGCATCTTGCATGAGTGAGTAGGGTGACAGGTGGCAGGAGTAGTGCACAAACTTCTGATGCTGATGATTGGCTCAGAAGGGAGGCACTCGGGTGTAACAAAATCAGATAAGAGGTGGCCCAGGAGCTAAGAATAGGATTGGGCACAGGCTCCTGGCTTAGGCAGGGGCATGGCAGTGCCAGCCAGGAAGTAGCCTGCTATCCCCAAGGAACAGAGCAAGGAGTGGGGCCCAGGATCCAAGGTTCCAAGGGAGGGGACAGAGTCCGGCTCAGCTCATAAACAGCTGATAGATCAGAGATCAGGGAGAGGGCAAGTACTGAGACCCAAGGCATTGGTGCTGGGGCCAGGAGGTGAGCTCTGGGCTCAGAGGAAGTGCCCAACTGGCATCCATGGCCTTCCTGGTGTCCGGGACACTGCGGGTGGCCGCGCAGATAGCAGATGCTCAAGACAGCCTGGGAAGAAAGGTAGTGGGCGGCACTGCCTGGCCCTCCTCGCTCCTGGCTCCCAGCAGAGCCCCACCCCGCCCAACTCTGGCCTTGCCTTCCCAGGGGAAGTACAGCATGCGGGGTCCAAGGGTGGCCTTGACACTCAGCAGCCCGGAGGTATCGGCCTCTACAGTGGCTATCCTGGCGAGTGTGTTCCAGACCCTGGGCTTTGAGAACTGCCAGAGGAGGGAGGCCTCGGTCCAGGTGAGCCCTACCCTGCCTCCTGCCTCCACCCTCAGCCCCACCTGGGGCCTCCCCAGACCCAGGCCTCCCTCTTACTCTTGCTCTAGGACTTCCTTGAGGAGCTGACTGGGTTCCGGGAGCAGCTGGATGCCCGCGGGGCCCCTATGGGCTGTGTCCTCGTGGCCTTGGTGGCCCCCAATGGGCAGCTGAGGCAGCCACAGAAGTTGGTTCGGGAGCTGAGTGGCTGTGAGGCCCTGCGGGGCTGCCCCAAAGTCTTCCTGCTGCTCTCAAGTGCTCCTGGGGGTGAGTGGCTGGGCAGGGACCCCTATTGTGGGGCAGAGCAGGCTGAGAGTGGGGGTGGATGGAAGGCCAAGACCTTCCCTTCAGGCCAACCTTGTACTTTTCTATCCAGCTCCCCCCAAGCCCGGGACCTTCCTCACTGGCTTGAGTGAACTCTGTGGCCGCTGTCCTCGCTGGTCCCTGCTGCAGCTGCTGACGGAGGTGGGAGCCCCAGATGGGGAGCCCAGGGAGGGGGCTGTGCCAGTCGCCTCCCCTGAGCCTGTTACCCAGATTCATTCACATGCTTCCCACCCGTTCATTCTACAATACTATTCTACAGTTCATTGTCTACACACGTGGCAGACATGGCCCCGTCTTTCACCCCCCATCCATGCCCTGCCTCACACCCACTCAGACACTCCAGCATCTTCACATCTCCATGCCTTTGCTGCAGCTGCTCCCTCTACTTGCCATGCCCTGCCTGTTGTCCCGGTAAGCCTCATACAGCCCCAGGCTGCCGGTGAGGTCCCCTCTCACACTCCCTGAGTCAACCCTTACACTTCTGCCCACTCCGGTTCACACTCATCCAGGTAGTGACTGTTCCATCAGACTGTAGGTCCCTGGAGGGCGAGGTTGGGAATGATTCCGTTCTAGTTCCAACACCCAAAGATCTCACTGGATGGTTGGGTGGCCCTGGGTGATCCTGCAAGTGAGGGGTGAGCCCAGCTCTGCTCCAGCCTGGTGCCTTTCCCTGAAAGGCAGTGGTGAATGGTATGGCCACTGTAGAACCCATGTCCAGAGAAGCGTATGACCTGGAGCCTGAAATAGAACTCTCCTTGCAGCCTCCCCCTCTTTCATGTGTCTCCTCCTCCCTGTAATGGGCAGAGGAACCCAAAGAGACCGTAGTAGCTAGGAGACTGGTCGAGTCATTCCTTGGAGCCAGGTCCTCTTCTCACCTTGCCCATGGAGCAGCCCCCTGAGGACCCTGTGGCTCCATCCCCCCAGGTCTTCTGCAGGACAGCTGGAGAGTCCTCGGGGGCCACCTACTGCCCAGTCCTTCAGAGCTCCTTGCGGGGGGCGCTGTGCCTGGGGGACATGGATCCCTGGGGGCCTGAGGTAAGGGGGCAGGAGGAGTGTTCAACCATGTGGCACAGTGGCAAGCGGGACAGAGGCTCAGGGAGACCCGAGGTGGGGGAGACAAGGAGCTGGAAGTCCTGTGACTACGTTCAATGCACCTTACCTTGTTTATAGCCAGAACCCAGCCCCGGTGCTCAGTATGACCTGTCTAGAGACAGGGCTGCCCTCTGCCTGGCCGTCATCCGGGACCGGCCTGGGGCCCAGCGTGATGTGGAGGCATTGGGGGGCCTGTGCCAGACCCTGGGCTTCGAGACCACCCTGAGGACAGACCCTACAGCCCAGGTGAGGGGAAGCCCAGAACTTCTGGTGCTACTGTAAAGAAAGGCATACCCCCACCCCGGGCCCTGGGGACTCCTCCTGGGCCTCTCCCCCGTGGGGGGCAGGAAGGGCAGCCCCAAGTCTAGCCCCCATCCTCCCTGCCGCATGCACTGGGAATCCCTGCCTCTGGAAGCCTGGGCTTCAGGGCTCCTGTGGCTTCCCGGGCTGGCTGTTTCTCTGCTCTCCTGATCAAGGCCCCAGTTGGACCCTCAGGTTTTTCCTGGAAGGGTCTCGGGTTCCTTCTCAAAGCTCATCAGCTCACTGCCCTCCCCTCATGCCTCTTAACTTTTTTGGCACCAGAGGACCAGCTTCAGAGCCAACCACATGTCTGTCACCTCCAATAAGGCCATGCCAGGCTTTGCAGCAGGGGTCAGAAGGACTTCCTTCCTGGTCCTGAAGCTGGCAGGAGGTGGGAGGGAGGGTTGGTGGGCTGGAGAAGTCTACCTGGAAGGCTTCCAGGTACTGGGAAGGCAGTGGCCCTGACCCAGGGCTCATCTCCTTGCACTCCAGGCTTTCCAGGAGGAGCTGGCCCAGTTCCAGGAGCGGCTGGACACCCGCAAGAGTCCCGTGAGCTGTGCCCTTGTGGCCCTGATGGCTCATGGGGGACCTCAGGGGCAGTTGCTGGGGGCTGATGGGAAAGAAGTGCGGCCAGAGGCACTGGTGCAGGAGCTGAGCCACTGCAGGGCCCTGCGGGGCTGTCCCAAGATTTTCCTGCTTCAGGCTTGCCGTGGGGGTGAGTGGGGTCTGGGGCCCTCCCTGGCTCCTGTCCTAGATTTCCTCACCCAGCCCACCTCCCCCAGGAAGCCTGAGCACTAGTCCTTTTCCTGCCCCCTCTCCCAGTGTCTCCTAGAGGTCAAGTTCGTGAACTCGAGCGCTTTGCCCTCAGCACTTTTCATTGAGTGCTCTGAATGTTTCCAGCCTGGCAGACCTGCCCTGGAGTTCTAGGGGCTGGGGGCTGGACCCCCGGAGGCACCTCCAGGATCTGCTGAGTGAAAGGACCTGCCTATCCTCTCCTTCCCTAGGACACAGGGATGCTGGCATGGGGCCCACAGCTCTCCCCTGGTTCTGGCGCTGGCTGCGGGCACCACCAGCCACCCCCTCCCACGCTGATGTCCTTCGGATCTATGCAGATGCCCAAGGTGGGTCTGTCTTCCTTCTGGAGCCTGGCCTTGGGCAGGGCTGGGGTGTGTGTGTGTGTGTGTGTGTGTGTGTCAGGGGCTCTGAGCTGGGGTCCTGCTGCCACCTCTGTCCTCTCTTTGCCAAGGGGATGGGAAGAAAAACCATCTGAAGCCACAAGGGCTTCTCCCCTACTTGAGCCTCAAAACAACCCTGGAGTTAAGAAGGTGAAATAGCTTTTTTGAGGTCATACAGCTGGGAAGTGGCAGGGCTGAGATTTGAACTCTAATCTGTCTTTCCTGCTCTGCACTCTTCCCGCTGCGTGTGCTGCCCTTGAGCCAGACTCAGGGAGACCCCAGGGATGGTGGAGTCCCGGGTGCTGAGTAAATGGAATTGATCCCCCTTGCAGGCAACTCTTCCGGGGGCTTCACGCCAGGGAGCTGTGACCAAGCAGACATCCTGATGGTCTATGCAGCGGCCGAGGGTAAGGGGAAGGGTCATCAAGAAGCCTCGTTCACAGGACCCAGCCTGGCGGGAGGGCTGGTGTGGCTGTAGTGGCAGCTGGGGCTTGACATGTGTGGCACAGGGGCATCCATCTGATTCCCATTAGGTCATTTTCCTTTCATGTTTATTATTATTATGTTTTTAAATGTATTTCTTTATTGATTTCAGAGAGGAAGGGAGAGGGAGAGATAGAAACATCAATGATGAGAATCATTGATTGACTGCCTCCTGCATGCCCCCTACTGGGGAATGAGCCCACAACCCGGGCATGTGCTCTTGGCCGGAATCTGGGACCCTTCAGTCCACAGGCCAACGCTCTATCCACTGAGCCAAACCGGCTAGGGCTCATGTTTATTATTTATAACTAGGGGCCCGGTGCACAGATTCGTGCACCAAGTGGGTCCCTCAGCCTGTCCTGCAGGGATTGGGCCGAAACTGGCTCTCTGACATCCTCTGAGGGGTCCCGATTGCGAGAGAGGGGTTCTTGAGTGATGCACCCAGAATCAGGCTCCCTCCTCTCTGGTTCCTGAACCGTAGCTGCCAAGTCACCACAGCTCTGCAGCTCCTGCTTTGAGCATATGCCCCCTGGTGGTCAGTGCGTGTCATAGCTACCATTCTGACAGTCGGAGGGTCGCTTAGGCTTTTATATATATAGGTAATAGTAATGCTGGTGAGCATGCGTTGCGGGCTGACTGTGCCAAGCACTGTACTGCAGCATTCCCTCCGGGCTGTACGTTTCATGAGGGCAGGGCAGTTCTGCCTGCTCAGGGCCCTTCCCAGTGCCCAGCAAATAGGATGTTCACAGTGAATGTTTGTTTAATATTGAAGTCATCATATATTCATTCGGCAAATATCGAGCAACCACTTGTTTCAGAAACAAGAAGCTCCCGCTCCCTGCCCCGTTTGCTTGCCTGACTCCCAGGGTCTTGTCTACTTGCCCCACTCCCACCATCAATAGGCCCCTGAGGATGGGAAGGCGGCTGGTCAGCCTGTCTGACGCGCTGCCCCGGTCCTCTGGCCTAGGCTGTGTAGCCTATCGGGATGAGAAGGGTTCAGACTTTATCCAGACACTGGTGGAGGTCCTCAGAGCTACCCCCGAGGGAGACCTCCTGGAGCTGCTGACTGAGGTGTGTTGGGGAATGGGGGTTGGCAATAGGGGAGAGGCCAGATTCATCCTTCTTAGCCCTGGTGTCCTGGTCACCTCCTATGCACCCCATTGGTAAGGGAGGGATCCCCCAACCTCAATGGGATGAGACGGCCGAACACATGACACCCACAGCGGTTACTAGTCATGCACTCACAGCCTGGGGGGCGTACACCCTACACCAGGCAGGGCCTCTCAGGGTTACACGCGGGAACAGAGTGAACCAGCAGGAGGAAGTGACTGGCTTGTCTGAATAGTTTTGCAAGTTGGCAGGGAACTGAAGCCCCTCGGGTGGAGGCTGGGGTGGAGTGTAGCTGGTCTGGCTGGTGGGGGAACTAGCTGGGTGGGGAACCTTTCCTGCTGGGGGGTGGGAGACATATCTGATAAGAGCAGGGGGGCTCCCGGCTAGTCCTTTGGAGCCCTATGAGGCCCAAAGATACCAAGGCAGCACTTGAAACTTTCGGCCTTACAATACACTGGGTGCCAGGCTGGGCACGAGAGGAGCTGGGCACAGGCTGAGTGTGGTCCTCGCAGGTCAATCGGCAGGTGTGTGAGCTGGATGTGCGGGGTCCGGACTGCAATGAGCGCCGCAAGGCCTGCCTGGAGATTCGCAGCTCCCTGAGGCGCCGGCTCTGCCTGCAGGCCTGACTGCAGCCACCCAGTTGTGCTGACAGAGTGGCCACACCCAGGGCCACCATGGATGGAGTCCAGCCTGTTACCTCACCTATAGATGGGGCGTCACAGCAGGTGCTGGGCTCAGCTGCAGACTTGGCCTCTGCCTTCAGGACTGTCAGAGTCCGGATTGGGCCACAGCCTGGAACAAAGCATTGCAGGTTGGCGGTGCTGTGGTGGGGAAAGCACGGCGGTGGGGGCAGCAGTGGGCAGCTCCTGGCCCAACGCCAGCTGGGAGCCTGCGGGAAAGCCATCGGAGGGGCCTCTCCCTGCAGGAGGGGCCTGGAGGCCTGATTGGGTCTGGAATTCGCAACAGCAGGACCACGTCTTCAGTCGGTGCTCAATAGCCATTGTAGCCGGATCCGGAGCCCCGCCCACACGGAGCCCGAGGGGGTGGGGGCGGGGAAGGG